CATCTCCACTACAAAAGTGGAGTATGTTAATTTATGACAAAAAGTGTAATACCATATCGCATATCCACCCTGATCATTATCCATCACACATCCTCTGTTTGTATTGATTTGGTTAATTGATTGATTTATATACTGCATTGTCTTGTTTATGTCTCTTATGCTGGTGTTATGTATTGTGTATCTTGTTTTTTATGTGTCTGTACGGCGATCTTGAGAGCCTTGAAAGGCGCCTATATAAAATAAATAAATAATTATTATTATTATACCCAGGTGCACAAATACCAACTTACTATTCTCACAGATAATTCCACCACACACAGAAAAGCACCCCCCACAACCTCTGATGTGTTACACTGTTGTTGCAGTCAGCTGGTGAACAAGCAGGTGACTAATTCAAAAATGTAATTGGATTTTGAGTTTCAACTGGCACATAGGTCATTATCAAGCTTTTTGTATTCATGTGTGCGTGAAAAACAAATCAACGTATAACTCCCCGGGCTGAGGAGTGTAGCTAAAGCTGCTATAAACATCCATACCATCGCTTTCCCTAAGCCCGTACTGCAGGAGGTTTGCTCTCTTTGCAAATATATTCTTGCACTCTGCAGCATATTAAAAGCTGTGTTAGGTCTGCATGTGATGCAACGTTCCTGTTTCCAGTAGTAGTTTATTTCCAGCCACCTCTCTAATCCATATAGGCCTTTGTAAAGTGAGTTTTGTTCCAAACTGATAAGCGGCAGGGTTAGTACAATAATCCTGTTCTCCAGTTTGAAGATGTAAAACTGCTCCAAGATGTACATTTCCAGCTCAGCAGAAAACACATAAATGTGTTATGGAGGTCTGAGTATACGCATCCCTGCAACTTTGTTTAAAGCACATGTTCACGCCTAGTGATTTTTGAAAGGAGGATAAACCAATTTTAGTCTGAGGGCGACCCTTTCACGGCTGTGTTTCAGGGAGTCTGCTCGCACACACTGCTCTCGCTCTGTTCTTTAAAAATGTAGGAGCTGTCCTCATTAACCCTGCTTTTCCCATGCTGTTAAGCGGCTATGCAGATCTTGTTATAAAAAAGGGTTAGACAGATATTCATATAAAGACAAAACCACTTTAATATACGATCTGGTCTCGTTAGAGTAGCACTTGAAATGTTTTTGCTCTATGAAGCCTGATGTACTTATATGATTCTGTTTTCTTCAAGTTGTATTTTGTTGGTCGAACGCACTTACTGTAAGTCGCTTTGGATAAAAGCGTCAGCTAAATGCAATGTAATGCAATGTTATGAGCATGTTTAAAAAGGGAACAAATCGGTTTTGATTCTCTCTCAAGTTAGACGTTTTACTGTCAGATCATTTTGGGGCTAAATCTGTGATTGCCATTGAAAGTAATTCAGAAATATATAACATTCCCTCCCTTGTGTTTACAAATGTTGTTATTGTTTGTGTCTTTCGGTTGTCCTCAAAACTACCAACAGCACAGGAAACACTGCAATTGTTTTGGAGAGAAAACGGTGCAATAGAGACGTTAATAACATGTTTTCTGGTAAACCCCATTGAGATTCATAATATTGCAATTAAATAAAAAAAGGCTAGCATTCTTTTAGCCTCATAAAAAGCCCGTTGGCAGTGAGACATACAGTTTGATTTGTTGGCTCAATTATCACATAAGAAGTTGGCAACATTATTGTTAAGAAAAACATTTATTGGGAACTGTCAAATGCCAATGCTACTTACAAGAATTCAAGCCTCAGATTTAAATGCCTTTGTCAACAAGTCAAGTTGCAGTTAATATTACATTACATGTTGCTTGTTAGACGCTTTTATCCAAAGCGACTTACATACTCAATACTGTGGGCAATCCCCACAGGAGCACTTTGGGGTGAAGTGTCTCAAGGACACAACGACATGCTGACTGCAGTGGGGTTTGAACCTGTGCCCCCTGATAATATCCATGCCTGTCCAACATTTGTGTGAAATTGTCATTGTCAATTTCAATGACATTGACCTTTGACCAGCAAATTATATTCTGTTTAGAAAATATTCTGTTAAGATTCCCACCATTTTTGAATTCTCAACATTCATCCAAAAAGGTGCACAATGCACATAAGCACCAATAGACTTCTGAATTGTGTCAAAATCGTTCCACCCGTGATTATTTTCTCCAAAACAGAAATAGCCTCCATGAAGTGTCAACTGCAACATTCAGCTACGCTCAAAACACACTTTGTAATTATCACACGCCTGCTGCTGCATGATTTTTTGGGATTGTTAGAGCTGGAGACACATAGTGACAAAACCCTTAGACACATCTGATCATGATATGTGCACAAGAGGGCAATGGGTTCACAACAGGCCTAATGTGTGTTGAGTAATGAGAAAGAGGGTTTGACCAGAGCTCAGACCTCATCAATAGAGCCTTTTCAGCGTCTTGATTCGTATAACACCTGTTGATTAAACAGTCTGAGTGATTCAAGGGATGCTCTCTGGTGACCCCTCCTATTTGTAAAGGAGACAAATTAAAGTCCTCCATCAAAATGTGATCAATGCTCGAGAGCCTCTGGCGAAAACAGGCACCATGGTGTAATGAAGCTATAATTCAACTTTACTGCCCTGTAAATGAATGATGGACGTTAGGAATTGATGATTTCCTGTTAACTCATTGCCTGTTGGAAACTGTATATCAACTTGAGAAATTAACCTCATGTTGACCCTCTTTTACAGCATTTCCTGTGACAAATAATTACTTTAGGCACAATATTTGAAGTATGTTTTTTAGATATGTCCTGATTGAATGATGTATGCGTTGATTTACTGATTGAATGGTGACATAGTGTATATAAAATGGGGTCAATTTTTAAAAGGCCTATTAAAACTAACTAACCTTTATTCACTCATAAAAACACTGCTCCACAGCACTTGGGCACGATTCAACAGTGTATGCAATTACTATGGAGCCTTTAACATCAATGCATTGATTTCTTTTTTTATATTTGATGACTTGTTTATGTGTATATTAAGTTTAATTTAGCTACTGATGTTATGTGAATACTTTAGAATAGGACATTTGCCATTAAAAGTCCCTTATAAGGTTTGTAAAAAAACATTGTAATCTATGTTATGCTAAGCAGTGTTTCCGTCAGACCAGGGCTGAGAGGGCGTCCACCCTGAGAGCGTGGGGGGGGGGCTTGAATTTTAACTTGAGCCGTCCCTTATAGATACTGTCTTGTTACGTTAGTGAGCCGGATCATTTGGCTCGGCTCTCTTAAAGCGCCGGCTGTTTCGGCTCCCGAACGGCTCTTCATGTTTCCACAGTTTACCACGGAGCCTCAGTTTCGCCGCTGCGAGGCTCTGGTGCTCGCAGCTCACGCGCGTGCACGGCTCATCGCGTCCAAATCGCGCACGTTTCGTGTTCTCCTGTAGCAGGCACCGCCGATGTCGGGGAAACGATCTTCAATAGTCCGAAAATAATCCCACCAGACTCCTTTGCCCCTCCAACAAAGGGATGTCCTTTTTCCTTTTCGTTATTTCAAGCGATAAAAACTCTCGATCTTCTCTCGAATTATTAATATTTTTGGATGCCCTCGGCTCGAGTTCAGGGCGTCCCGAGCTGAATAAGGGCGTCAAATGACGGCAAGACGCCCAGGTAGTAGTTCATCAACACATTACTGTAGTTCTACATCATAGTCCAGCCCCCCCTGAGGTTTTAGAACTAGGGTTACGTCACCTTCATTGTAACTCACACAGGCTCCGCCCTCTACTATAATCTATGGTAGAGGGTTCAATATGTGCTTAAAGAACTAGGGTTACAATACCTCCCTCTTGATTTTCCACTCCAGATAAATGATGCCCACAATAGCTGATCTATTGAACCAATTGAAACTGATTTTTCCTCCCACTGTGATGTGTTATGGCGCGTTTCCACTGCAGGCCTCACTCAGCCTCGCTCGGTTTGGTTAGGCCTTGTTAGGCCCGGCTCACTTTAATGCTGCGCTTCCATTACAGTTTAGGAACTGGGGTAGTTACTATAGTAACGCAGTGTAGGCGGAGCCGTGACGTCATCTTCAATGAGTGCCACAGAAAAACAACACAGCCGTTAGCTCTTAGCACTCAGAGCTCACAGCTCCTCATATCTGTTCAGAAACTAGACAAAAGTTAAACAAGTACAAACCACAGACTATCTGTGTCATGGCGAATACAGTCGCTGCTTTATTTATGTCTGTATAGGCCGTTGTTGTGAGTGTGGACGGTCGGAGCATATATAACGTTAGCTTAGCCAAGCTCCATTTAGAAAGCACGCATTTTAAAAGGGTTTTTCGCCTGCCGTCTGTCTGCAGACTTGTCAAAGCATTAATTCATGGTTTTTACTAACCGGTATCAGTATGTTGTTACTTCGGCATCATTTTGAAACGTGTATTACAATTAATTCACGGTCAAATATGTTCATCTTGTTGTAGTTGTAGCCCCCTTGCCAGCGATTATCTCTCTAGTTTAACATAGCTCAGCCCGACTCAGCCTGGTTGTTCCTGGCCCTAGAACCACGATTTTATGGGGCCAGAAAAACTGTGAATTAGGACCCGCTAGCCGGTACTAGGCCAAGTGGAAACGCAACTAAAAACGGGCCCTGCACGGCTCGGCACGCTTAAAGCGAGCTACCCGCTGCAGTGGAAACGCGCCATAACACTCCTTTATTTTCATTCAGGCCGATACCGCTAACCTTTTCCGAGTGCCAAATACGACACAAGGGCAAAACAATCTGTAATATTGCCTGTGCTATGACATTTTAAGCAGACATAGGCTTTCTTTAACAAAAATGTCCGTGTTGAAAGGATGTTGCATTCGAGTTGTCTTACATCGGTGTTAAAAATGTGTTTGCTTATGGCTAATCTTTGGGGTTGCTCCTTTCTAAACTACGGCTTTCATACTGTCCCCTGCCCCAAATACATATGAATAAGGTCTGCACAAAGGCAGCTTTGGCATGCATCAAAAGTTCTTAATAAGACACTTTACCTGCAAGGCACCCCATAAGTGACTGCAGCACCAGCAGTTTCCATAGCAACATCATCTTCAATTTTGTCGGGTCAAAGTAGTCTCACATCCAATCACGAAGGTATGGAATCCGATTTACACCTGGTTCACAATCTGCATAAAAGGTAAAAACAGAACAAGGTTTTCATTAGCAGATTTCTATTTCAAACATCAGTGAGTACAGCAAGTGTTAATTGTGCAAGTATAGCTCATATACTTGGTATAAACCAATGACTTTATGGCATATTTCTTATCCAGCATTCACAATAAAGTATTGTAATGTTTTAATCATCAAATCAATGGTGCAATTAACTCATTTTTCCACTTTGCTGAATGTTGGTCTTAAGAAAAAAGGATTTCTGTGTGGATGGTGGGCACATGAACACAAAACATCACATACACATTCATTTTCATATCTCCAGCAACTCCAGGGAGAGCTACTTTTAAGTCCATATGAAAGCAAAGCTCCTCCTTTAAATTCTCATAGCATTTTTCTTCATAGCATTTATGCTCATAAAAGTGCAACCCTAAAGATGAAAAACATCGAGAATGATTTCTACAACAGTCGTGAGCTTTATCTCCCAGGAGTGAACATTGAAACTGGAAAGTTTGCCGAGCGTCAAAGTGACGGGGAAGAAGCTGAAGGTACGAGGTGAAGAAAAAACGTGTTGTGTTAAAAGTCTGTCAGCTTATGACAATGCTTTTAATTTCTTTGTCAAAAAAGGAAACGTTGTAACATTGTTTTGTTGGAGAATAGATACTCGCTGATACATGACAGTGAGTTTGACAAACATTTCATTATCTTGGAAGATAAATCATGTTGGAAAACAAATAATCTGCAGCACCGTCTTCTAGTCAAGGTGTGAAAAAAGTTAATTCTGCAGATTTCTTACCCGTTTTTGGCAGGTTTGATAGGATTGGCATAGGAACAGTATTCTATTGTTGTTTATATAGGTGACTAAAAGTGAAAGGCTTGTGAATAATAATTGGAACACATATTCACGTGAAATAATTTGGTACTTCCCAAATTCAAAATGTAGTGATTATTTGAAATAAATACAAAATATACAGTATATCTTATATTCATGGCCGTTTTGGGGGAATTTGTACTGATATGGTCGTCAAATTGGCTTTTGTGATGAGCCTATATTGACATCATTCAACTTCACTTCAGACAAAATATATAAGTAAACAACACAGAATACTAGATGTGTGTGAATATACGATGATACATCGCTAATCATCTAAGAAGCATTTTGGTTGGAAATTAGGATTTTGGAATATGACATTTTGGTAAAAAAAACTGCAGTAATTGCGTCAAACAGGAGAGTTCCTGTCATATACATGGACTCTATATGTGGATTATCTTTGACATCACAATACAATGTACGATTGCATTTCATATGAGCATGTTTTTTCGTGTAATTTCTGAAAGGTAAGGACCTTTATTCTCATTGGACATCATTATCACTTTTTCAAAGATAATCTCTGAGGTGTTGTTATCTAATTGGACAGTGCTAGTGGTTACAAATAGGGAAAGAAGGGTATAGCGTGCACCAAATGAGCCTTGCTGGTATGGATCCATGAACTTTGAGGTTAAATCGTAGGCGCCAAACCACAAGGTCAATAGCTGCCTAATGGTTATCAGTGCAAACTAGCATTTAGACAATAAAGGGCCTTCGTATAAAAACGCAAAAGGCTACGTTGGTGCTGCATAAGCAAGACATAAGATACCATCTGGCAAGCGCAGTTTGAATCACACATCTGTGAGTTGTAAGTGTATTCTGCACCTGTATTCTCATAGCATAGCAAGATGCACTGGTAGGACTTCATAACTCTGCTCTAAAGCTCCTCTGGCAGTCGAACAGTACACAAGGTGTGTCTGTTTGCCCATTTCTGGGTTAGAAAACGACATTCTAACACTGGAACCAATTTAATAGGCGACCTGTCTGCTGCATTGACCTGTTTGCTGCATTCGATACGGTGAACCATCAGATCCTCCTTCGCACTCTCCAAGAACTTGGAGTTTCAGGCTCTGCGCTTTCCCTTCTCACCTCATACCTCAAAGACCGTACCTACAGGGTTACTTGGAGAGGGTCCGAGTCCGACCCTTGTCAATTAACTACGGGGGTCCCTCAGGGCTCTGTTCTTGGTCCCCTCCTCTTCTCCTTGTACACAAACTCGCTCGGATCAGTCATTAGCCCGCATGGTTTTTCATACCACTGCTACGCTGATGACACCCAATTAATTCTGTCCTTTCCCCGCTCAGAGACCCAGGTCGTCGCACGCATCTCTGCTTGTCTAGCTGACATCTCTCAGTGGATGTCTGCTCACCACCTCAAGCTCAACCTTGACAAGACTGAACTGCTTTTCCTTCCGGGAAAAGATTGTCCCACTCTTGACCTAACAATCAACATTGGCACCTCTATTGTTTCCCCGACTCAGACTGCAAGGAATCTGGGTGTGACCCTAGATAACAACCTGTCCTTCACTGCAAACATCGCTGCTACAACCCGCTGCTGCAGATACACGCTTTACAACATCAGGAGGATACGTCCCCAGCTGACACAGAAAGCGACTCAGGTTCTGGTCCAGGCTCTCGTCATCTCACTCCTAGACTACTGCAACTCCCTCCTGGCTGGTCTACCTGCATGTGCCATCCGACCTCTGCAGCTCATCCAGAATGCAGCGGCTCGTCTGGTCTTCAACCTTCCTAAATGTTCCCACACCACGCCGCTCCTCCGCTCCCTTCACTGGCTTCCGGTAACTGCTAGAATCCACTTCAAGACAATGGTACTTGCTTACCATGCTGCGAATGGATCTGGCCCTTCCTACATCCAGGACATGGTTAAACCGTACACCCCAGCACGTGCACTCCGCTCTGCATCAGCCAAACAGCTCGCTGCACCCGCACTGCGAGGGGGACCCAAGTTCCCATCAGCAAAAACACGTGGGTTTGCTATCCTGGCTCCAAGATGGTGGAATGAGCTCCCCATTGACATCAGGACAGCAGAAAGCTTACACACCTTCCGGCGCAGACTGAAAACTCATCTCTTTCGACTCCACTTCGAGCGATAGAATTGCTAACAAAGCACTTATATACTAATAAAGGACTGGCTTATCTAAAGCCAGTTGAGTAGCACTTGAAATGTTTTTGCTCTATGAAGCCTGATGTACTTATATGATTCTGTTTTCTTCAAGTTTGTATTGTGTTGGTCGAACGCACTTATTGTAAGTCGCTTTAGATAAAAGCGTCAGCTAAATGCAATGTAATGTAATTTAATATAATGGTTGAAGGGGATGTTGAGTATATGAGGTTGTAAATAGGGCGCAGTGACAGGAAGATTTTTCCATCCAGGGAATGTCAGCTACTCCCTCTGAAAAACTAGCCCTGATGTAAGAATTGAAGCCATACAAGCAGAGTCAAATCTACCTTTTGTGGGACTCCTCTAAGAAACAGGAGGCTTTAATCTACCGTCTCCTGGGTGGAAATATATTTAGAGTTGAGGCATGTTCGACACAAACCTCTCACAAACTATTTGTATAATTTTGCTATTAAAGAGAAGCACAAAGAAACTCTATTATCGCCCCCCTGCTGTGATTCAGCCTAGACAGCTCAAAGCTTTTCAGTGAGTAGCACAAAAACACTGAAAAAACATGTCCAAAAAGGCACCAGAAACTGTTTGAGTATGCCACATTCTCATTAATGTGAGATTCTCTACCTTCCAGCTCTGTCTGCTGTCTCCACCTACAGAGGCCTTTTAACTCCACAGATCTTATAGAGGGTTGTCAGAGTCTGTCTTGGGTATATCAATGGAGCAACGCTGTGCCTCACTTTCAGAGAGCAGTGTTATGCATATTAGAGTGTGTCTTATGAAAGCACCAAGCCCTGCGCCTATTAGGCTAATGCCCGGTTTGTCTGCTGTGATGGTTTCAGTTTAACATGTCACATCAGCGCTAACTTGATAGATGAAATTAGTACAATGTATTTAATATACTGCACAGGGCCACTAGTACCAATGTGTTCACTAAGTTGTATTTCCGTGCTGGGTTTCATTTGCTTTCCCACCAACCAGTGCCAGAGAGGAGCGTTGCCATGACGTCACGTTTACGCATGAAAATCCCTCTCAATAACAACAATGGCCGACTACATTAAAACTGGGCTCATGTTGCTATTAAGATTACATTACATTTCATTTTGATGAAGCTTTTATCCAAAGCGACTTACAATAAGTGCAAAAACCATAAAGATTCAAACTCTGAACATCAAAGAAAGTGCAGATAATTCACTTCAAGCAAGTCATACCGTTTAATTGGTTATAATGCCTAAATTAACCTTTTTTTTTGTTTTTTAGAATTTAATTGTCAAGGTACAATCGAAACATATGGGTTTTTTAAGCTTGCGACGGAAGATGTAGGAAGGGGCTGATCCCCTCACAGCTCGGTAGGCCAGTGTCAGAAGCGGATATGGGCAGCCGTATTTAACTTACAAAGCTCGATTGAATTGAAACTACTTCTCCAACTTTGTGCTGTTTTCCAGAGTGACGAGGCTTTAAATGATCGGTACACCGCTTGTGCTCCACTGGCATTTAGCCTACCATCTGCTAATGTCAGAAGCTACGTGATTCACTGCATACTGTTACATCAGTAACATCCTTGGATGCATATACTGTCTGAATTATTATGTATTTATTCAGATGTATTTAACCGTGTTTGGGGACATAGTGCTTAAATAACAGACTGCATAATGTGAATGAAGTTAGCCTAAACACCAAAGCCATTCTAATTGTGTTGCGTATACTGTATTTGAAATCAAACCAAGCACAATAATCCACACAGTGATCTGATATATTCTTCTCCCACCATATCCCAAAATAACATGAATCAAAATGCTCTGGAAATAACCTGGAAGTGATTTATGTAAACATTATGTATGCAAACTAGACCATATGACAAAAGAGGTCAAAAGAGAGACTATCCTGTCATTTATTTGTTTTATCTTGTATATTTAGGTTTCATCTTTATTTCACAATTTTCGTTTTAATCACAGAAAAAACATTGAAAAAACAATATATGACACATAACTGTTGTTTTACATAGGCTTCACTTCAAGG